AGAAAGAGTAACACATCATCCGCATAAAGGCTGATTTTATGTTCCACGTTCTTGCATTTTATGCCCTTAATTACTGAATTCTGTCTAATTGCTGCTGCTAGGGGTTCAATAAAAATTGCAAACAGTGAAGGGGAGAGTGGGCATCCCTGCCTGGTGCCCCTCAAGAGACAGAAGCTGGAGGATGTCTGGTCATTTGTTCTAACACAAGCTGTTGGGGAATTATATAATATTTTTAACCAGTTTATGAAAGAGGATCCAAAACCAAATTTGTGTAAAGTTACAAATAGAAATTTCCAGTTAACTCTGTCAAATGCTTTTTCTGCGTCTAAAGAGAATATTGTAGTTTCTAGGTTTTTACTGTATGAGTAGTCTATCAAATTAAGTAATCTACGTGTATTTGTTGATGAGTGCCTACCTTTTATGAAACCAGTTTGGTCAGGATGAATTAAGAGGGGGGTTATTTTCTCCAGTCTCTTTGAGAGAGCTTTGCAGATTATTTTAAGGTCTACATTTATAAGGGATATTGGACGATAGCTTGAGGGATATACAGGGTCTTTGCCTGCTTTAAGCAGGAGATTAATGTTTGCAGAATTCATATTTGATGGAAGTCTGCCCTTTTCTGGAGCCTTATTATTGGGCATACTTATCAGGGCTTCCTGGAGTTCACCTGGTGTCAGTGGTGAATCCAGTGCCATTGCTTGAGTGTCCAATAATTTTGGAAGAGTTATGTTGTCCAAAAACAGATCAATTTCTTTTTTAGATGGTTTATTTGTGGTGAATACAACGTTTTATAGAAATCCCTGAAAATGTTGTTTATTTGTATCGGATCATATATTGTGTTCCCAGATGAATCTTGAACAGCACATATAGTTGTTTTTTCTTTATTTATTTTTAGCTGGTTTGCTAGAAATTGACCGGATTTATTACCATGTTCATAATTTTGTAGGCGTAGTCTTTGTACTAAGAATTTTGTTTTTTTTAATCAATTATCTCATTTAATTCTAGTTTTGTTTTGCGTATTTTGTTCAATGTTTCCTGATCTTGGTGGGACGCGTAGGCTTCTTCTAGTGATTTGATGGTTTTTTTCTAATTCCTGAATATTTTTGTTTTCTTTTTCTTTTTATGTGATGAGAAAGAAATTATTTTACCTCTCATCACAGCTTTCCCTGCTTCCCATAGAACAGAAGCTGATGTTTCGGGAGTGTCATTATAGTCCAAATATGAAGTCCACTCTTTTTTAAAATATTTAATAAAGTGTTCATCTTTAAGTAGTGATATATTAAATCTCCAGTTTTTTCTTGGCGTAGTATTATTCTTGTGCATTAGTGTTAAAGATACAGGACCATGATCGCTGACAGCTATAGGGTGAATCTCAGTGTCTGAAATGTCGTTCAGCATTGAGCTGCTGAACCTTGAACGACAAGGTCTTCTATCGGGTCGCTACTGTGGGATGAGCAAGCAGGCTTCCGACAGAATTGATCAAGCACAGATTAGACCGCAGTGCTACGCGTCATAGTTGTGTTTGACAGTGTGGACCGAGAAACTCCTCTGATACTATAGCATCCCAGCCAACATGGTCAACAGTCTGTCAGTCTGCCCCAAGGCAGCTGTGGCTACAACTATAGCTTGCCTCCACCAGTGTGTGAATGTGAGAGTGAATGAATAGTGGAATTGTAATGCGCTTTTAGGGTCTCGAAAAGCCCTATATAAATTCAATCCATTATTATTATTATTATTCATTATTATTATTATTATTATTATTATTATTATTATTATTATTATTATTATGATCAAGGGTTCATATGAGGGCATGACCTGCAGAGTGATCCATAGAGGGCAGCTCGTCAACAGCTTCCAAGACCAGAATCCAACAGAAGGTCAAAAGCTAGCAAATGTGTCCTCCTGATTGAATTGAATTTTTTAATTACTGACTCTGTCTCTTTTCCTTCAACAGAGCTTGAACTACTTCATTTAAATAGTCTTTAAGTACATGTGTATTAGAAAGAGGTTTTTTATTTTTTTCCTAGCATGCAGAACCATTCCTGTAATCACCATTAAAACCTTTACTGGGAAAAAGTGGGAGTGAGATGTGTCTATTACACATTTCTCTGTGATACTGGGTTGAGGCGGAGATTGGTCTGCTGCAGTTAATGGGGAGATATTTGTTGGCTGGATTCATCAAACCACCTAATCAACAAACTCCAACATCAAGAAAAGTGAACTTTGTAGTTGCTCCATCCACAATTGTTTGTTTTATACAGGAAACCTCCTTGGTAAAGCTGCAGAAGTTGCATTAAAAAAATGCAGCTGAACTGTTAACTTGATATTCTATTCAATTCAATTCAATTTTATTTATATAGCGCCAAATCACAACATAAGTCGCCTCAAGGCGCTTCATAGATACAGAGAAAAACCCAACAATCATATGACCCCCTATGAGCAAGCACTTTGGCAACAGTGGGAAGGAAAAACTCCCTTGATACCATGTTTAAAATGCGCAGCTTGTTGACGGCTGACATTCCACTTTCTGTCGCCGTGATACCTGCAGCAAGCAGAGGGGACTTTAAAGAGGGGCAGGGGGTGTGCTAGACCAGTCTTTTAATAATTATTTTTCAAAATTAAAGTGAAGTGAAATAAAATGTTAATATTTAAAAATATAAAGGATTTGTTTGTTTTGTTTTTGTTTTTTGCAGGCCAATAAAAATGTACAGGGGATAGTAAAACTCAGTCACTGACCTGGGGCTGTTATATTAGACACTGTGAATTATTAGCATTCATTATTAAAATCTACGCCATTGTAATATCCTGTTTTCAGCCCACCAAATTTTGCATCAAAGCTCAGGGTAAATGTCCAAATGCTCACTATTCTTCATTGGAGCCCCCACATACTCTTAAAGCCTTATTCATTCACTAACACACACAGATGCAGAAAAATGTACACATGAACACACATCTACCTCATCCAGAAGATACAATACTACAGTAATACGAGGGTTTATATGGGCTCAAAATGTGGTCATAAATATTTTGTACTTGTAAAAAAGATTTGTGTGTGCGTAAAAAAGATTTGTATGCGTAAAAAGAATTTGTGTGTGGACTTAGAAAAAAAAACCCTGCAAGTTACAAGTACAGATTTTTGACCTTATTTTTCTTCCCTTCATCTGATTGGTCAATGTCATGTCAATCACAATGTAACAATCCAATCAGAGAACAGATGGGTTTGGCTGTCGAGGGGCGCTTTTTTTGAACTGCAGGTCTTTGAAGGGAATAAATGCCCTTTTACATGCCAACCCAGCGTTTTCCTTCATCACCACGAAGGAAAACAGTCTGTGGTCGTCCGAGTTTGGTGATTTTTTTGTGTCACAGGTCTACGTGTTTAATACAGGGACTTCCACAGCCTTTTCAACAGCGCTGCGGACCGCGGGGTGGGGGCGGGCAGTGTTTTGGAAATGACAGTCTTCATTACAAAGCTTTCTTCGTTATGAATTAGCATACATGTTTTTATTGAACATTTGAAGAACCAGCAAAAAAAACAAACTCTTGTAGAGGACATAAAGTCAGAGATAGAAAAGACAAGGAGCAGGTGCATCTAGTACAGGTAGAGCTGCTGCAAAAACCCACAGAGCCCAGCAGCCAGCAACAAATCCTGGATCCTTTGCTTTTAGTTAGCAGTTAGCATTAGCAGCGTATCCTGCATCCGATGTGAAAGGACTTTTATGCTGCGCACTGTGACTCACAGCAATGGTCCCGGGTCAGCCCTGACGTTGTGTTAAACTAATCCTAAAGTAATAATGTTATTTCTAACCACTGATATACCACAACTTTTTCCTTTCAACAGCTACTGAAAGTTAGGGACCTAGCTGCTATCGGATATTTATATAGCGATCCTCCAGCTTCAAACGGTATCACCCTTCAAGGACCTGCAGTTCAAAAAAGCGCCCCTCCGACAGCCAAACCCATCTGTTCTCTGATTGGATTGTTACATTTGTGATTGACATGACATTGACCAATCAGATGAAGGGAAGAAAAATAGGGTCAAAAATCCGTACTTGTAACTTGCAGGGTTTTTTTTTCTAAGTCCACACACAAATCTTTTTTACACACACAAATCTTTTTTACGCACACACAAATCTTTTTTTACGCACACACAAATCTTTTTTTACGCACACACAAATCTTTTTTTACGCACACACAAATTCTTTTTACACATACAAATCTTTTTTATGCACACACAAATCTTTTTTACACATACAAATCTTTTTTACAAGTACAAAATATTTATGACCACATTTTGAGCCCATAGGTTTAGATTTTTGTGAAAGTGCAGTGTTCAGTTAAACTGCACCATCACAAAAACTTCTGTGAATATATTCTATTAGCCTCATCTTATTGTATATATGTGTGTTTTTATCTCTCACTGAAATTGACTTTTGTTATCGCTTGATGTTATCATTTTCCGTATAATTTTTTGGCACTATCCTATGGATACTTAAGAATCTGGATTTTTTTTTTCCTTTTTTTTTCTTTATTGGAAAACTTTATTTTCCAAGCAAATATGATTTAAAACAGTGGGGTTTTTTGGGGGACGGATGCTGCAACAATGTAACTCCACTTAATGCAGTAACCTGAGCTGTCCATGAAAGTGACCAGTCACATTAGGACACTTTCTTTGCTTTCTTTGGGCTTCCCCTCCAAACAGTCACAAATCTAATGATTTAAGCAAGCAGGATTCACATCAGAGTTGTGCCCAAGAAATTAAATTATTTGCTCGGATTATATTTTTTCCCTTTGTGACTTATGGTACAAAAAATTATTCCATACTATAAGTTCAAAACGGTTAGATCGGAGCTCAGTAAGTAGAGTAAAAAATTTCCCCTGTATGAACAGCAGAGAAAAGTACATGTCTTATCTTACCAATCAATCCTGATGTTTATTCCCATTCTCCCATTGTCCTACTTTCTGTTTTCCAATAATGTCATCTGTGGGGATTTTTATTGCAGATCTCTATAAAGATGCCTGAGGTTCGGGACCTTTCTGAAGCTTTGCCAGAGATGCCAATGGACCCAATCACTGGAGTCGGAGTAGTAGCCTCTAGAAATAGAGCACCCACTGGATATGATGTGGTAAGCAACATAACATAACTCAAGAATGATTGGTCAGAATTGCCAAATACCAGAATTTTTCCCACACTATTAGATTTTATTTTTTGCAGTAACAGAAATATCTAATTTGCACATTTATGTACTTGTGTGTGCGCATGAAAGGAGGCACTTACATGCTTTCTTAAATTAATTAAATTTCTTAAATATTCTATTGTGACAAAAATAATTGAGCAACAATCGCATGTGTTCCCAGTGAGGGCTTCTCTCGTGGATAAACTCCAACATCTGACATACAAACCTGTTTTTGATTTGGTGCACATTCTGGTTAGCAAAATGGTTAGCTGGTTGTTAGGAAAATATAAGCAGTGACTGAACTTCAGTGATGCACAAATTCCTTTTTTTTTTTTTTTTTTTTTGTAAACTTGCCAATAGTGATTCTGGGTTGTTTTTTATTTTTATTTTTATTTTTTCTGTTCACCCAATTCCAAATGTCTATGGAAAAACACATGTATTATTCTCTGTGTATATGATGATAGCCCAGACTTAAGAGTGTTTTGCTGTGAATTAGTCTTCATGTATTAGGTGGATGACAGTGTGTGTTTGCCAACAGTAGCAGCTGCTTTAGCATTTGTAGCAACTTTTTACCTGGTAGTTTACAGTTAAAGAGGAGCAGAATCACTATCCTTCTTTCCTGTGAAATAAGGGATGTGCATGACTTGTTAACCAAGCAACTAATCGTTGCTATTGTCACTAGTCAGTACAAGACGTAGTAATCATTTAACCTAATTGCTATCATTTTAATTGATGCGAAGTGATGGTAAATTGTTGTGCCTAAATGTTATACAGCCATGTGCTGCCATTTGTGGCATCATTGTTGAGAAACTCCATTAATCTGTTAATTTTGGGCTAATGTATTGTTGTTAGTTCTTTCATAAGCGAAAGGAAAAGATTGAGGATACGAGTAACGAAAATGGGCTTTCCGTTAGAATAAGATTAATAGTTCAATTATTTGTGTGGGGTTCAGAGTAGGGCTGCCACGATTAGTCGACTAGTCACGATTACGTCGACTATCAAAATCATCGACGACTAATTTAATAGTCGAGAATTCATAGCGCGGCCTTGCTCAGTTTCCAACAATGGCAGTAGCTAGTTAGTTTTAACATTACTCTTATTATTCTATGTGGGCCACAAAATAAACGTTTAAAGTATTTTCAGGCGAGAATGTAACTGTGTAAACCTCAAATATCTGCTCGGTTTATCAAGACACCACATATTTTCAAAAGCGCTCCAACGTTTTCGGAGACGTCTGTTACCCACTAGCTCGATAGCTAGCCGGGGGCAAGGCTCACTAGAGCCCGTGAGAACACCAGACTCACGGCAAATCGTTTTCAAACCCACTGCCGTCTTTCGCTACTCATGTTAAACATATATAAGTCACTTAGATAACTTAAAAGTGTTATTGTTTGGCTTTTTTCAGTATTTCATTTGTTCCTGAGTAAATCTGTTTGGCTGAGGTTAAAGTTTTTACACAGCTGAGTAAACGTCAAACAGACAACTGATTATCAGAAGTGTGAGATGCTCGAGAATTTACTCCGGTGTCCTGTTATATTTTAGATAGCAAGGAGTTTATTAAACTTCACCGAAACAATCTGCAAATTTCATTAAAATTTAATAAACTATCATCTTGTCTTTATTTTTAGTTAGCACATACCTTAAACACTTAAAGCTGTAAGCTAGTGATAGTTATATAAGAGCAGATGCTGCTGGTGCAATAAGCTGTACGTTTTACGTCCAATGGATGATGATCTGATTAGTGGACTAATCGCAAAAATAATCGGTGACTAGTCGACTATCAAAATAATCGTTTGTGGCAGCCCTAGTTCAGAGTAGAGCTGCTGCTCCTTGATGAAAGGAGCCAGTGTAGGTGTAAGATAAAGGTGTTTCCTCTCTTACCGGGAGATGGTCCAGGGTAAAGATAAGATAAGATAAGATAACCTTTATTAGTCCCACACGTGGGAAATTTGTTTTGTCACAGCAGGAAGTAGACAGTGCAAAAGTTATGAGGCAAAAATTAGAATACAATAAGAATAAATACAGTACACAACTGTACAGAATAAAATAAAATACTATATACAGTAGAATAAAATAAAATAAATATACAATAAGATAAAAATAGAATACAAATACTATATACAACTGAGTAAAAATACAACGATGACAGAAAGGATTATTGCACTTAGTATTATTGCATATGTATGGATGTGTGTGCTTGATCAGTTAAAGTCTTTATTATGGAGTCTGACAGCAGTGGGGAGGAAAGACCTGCGAAATCTCTCCGTCCCACACCGTGGGTGCCGCAGTCTCCCACTGAAGGAGCTGCTCAGTGCTGTCACAGTCTGCTGCATGGGGTGGGAGATGTTGTCCATCAGGGATGACAGCTTAGCCGCCGTTCTCCTGTCACTCACCACCTCCACTGGGTCCAGAGGGCATCCTAGAACAGAGCTGGCCCTTCGGATCACCCTGTTCAGTCTCTTCCTGTCCCAGCAGAGATGCTGCCGCCCCAGCAGACCACGCCATAAAAGATAGCAGAAGCCACAACAGAGTCATAGAATTTCTTCAGGAGGGGGCCCTCCACTCCAAACGACCTGAGTCTCCGCAGCAGGTACAGCCTGCTCTGCCCTTTCCTGTAGAGGGCGTCTGAGTTATGAGTCCAGTCCAGTCTATTGTTCAGATGAACACCAAGGTACCTGTAGCTGTCCACAGCCTCAATGTCCATACCTTGGATGTTCAGTGGTTGCAGTGGAGAATGCTTGTGCCTGCGGAAGTCTACCACCAGTTCCTTGGTTTTACTGGCGTTGATCTGGAGGTAGTTCAGCTGGCACCAGTCCACAAAGTCTTGGGTCAGACCTCTGTACTCCTTGTCGTCCCCATCAGTGATGAGGCCGACTATTGCAGAGTCATCAGAGAACTTCTGCAGGAAGCACTGGGTGGAATTGTGGGAGAAGTCTGCAGTGTAGATGGTGAAGAGGAACGGAGCCAGAACCGTTCCCTGTGGGGCCCCCGTACTGCAGACGACCCTGTCCGACACACAGCCCTGAGTCCTCACATACTGTGGTCGGTCGGTGAGGTAGTCCAGGATCCAGGTAGTGAGGTGATGGTCCACTCCAGAGTTCACCAGCTTGTCCTTTAGAACCGAGGGAAGAATGGTGTTGAAGGCACTGGAGAAATCAAAGAACATGATTCTCACAGTGCTTCCAGCGGTCTTCAGGTGAGCGAGGGAACGATGTAGGAGGTGAATGACGGCATCATCCGCTCCAATGCCAGGCTGGTAGGCAAACTGAAGTGGGTCCAGTGATGAGCTTATTAGGCGCCGAAGCTGAGCCAGGACCAACCGCTCCAGGGTCTTCATCAGGTGGGATGTCAGAGCCACCGGCCTGTAGCTGTTGAGGTCCTTGGGGCGTGAAGTCTTTGGCACTGGTACAACACAGGAGGTTTTCCAGAGCTGTGGGACTCTTCCCAACCTCAGGCTCAGGTTGAAGAGGTGCTCCATCACCCCACACAGTTGGTCCGCGCAGGACCTGACGACCCTCGAACTGATGCCATCTGGACCCGCTGCCTTCTTGCCATTAATCCTCCTCAGTTCCCTCCTAACCCAGAACACTCTCAAGAGATTACATCTATTGGCTGACCTGGGAACGACTCGATATTTCTCAGTATAGGCTGGAGGAGGTGGCTGCAGAGAGGGATGTCTGGGCTTCCCTGCTTAGACTCCTGCCCCTGCAACTTCAGATAGGCGGAATAAAATTGCTGGATGATTTATTGATTTACTATTTTAGATATTCATTTTTTTTCTTAATATCTTGTCCTGTCTTATTCCTGTGTTATTTCACATATTACGTTATATATGGTATAGCATGACGATGTCTAAGGCAAGACTGGCAAGAGAGGAAAAAAGAGGAGAAAGTGGTGTGGGGCAAGAAGAGACAAAAAACTCAAAAACAAAGTGGGTGAGTGAGTGGGTGTGGGGATGCCTGCGTCTTTGTAACAAATGCTGCACCAAACAAGCAGAACGGAGTCAAAATGCACTACAAGCCGCCTCTTGACTCCCGTTTTTCTTGTTTCTTGTTTTGTTATTTAAGGGATACAGGAAGATGTCCCTCCTCCTCACTTAGTGTTAAGGTGCTATGTTGTTAGATTTTAACTTTTATTGAAGTAGTTGTTATGCATTTATGAACAGCGCGCATCGTCCAGAATAGACGGGAACACTGTGCCACAGTTTTCAGTTGCAATTCATTAGATTCTCAAATGTTAATTTGTCATATTTTAATAATACGTGAACATCTTTTATAGCAAGTTTATATTATAACATTTAATATTTATTTATTTAACATCGGTTTATTTTCGTCTTCGTTTTCTGTTTGGAGTGTAATGTGGTCAGTATGCACAATGTGAGGTCCTGCACGGTTAAGCAGCATGATTCATAATTGAAGAATGTGATTAATGTTTTCAAATGCCTTTGTTTGCAGAGTTTTTGTCATTGGCCGTTAAACGGTTCTCAAATTTAACTTGATATTTGAGTGTCTTAAATTTACAGTTTTGTTTTTTTGTTTTTTTGTTTCTCAAGTGATTTAGTGATTTTTTTTTTTTTCTCCCTCGTTTAGCTGACTAAAAAATTGGCCATGAGGAAAATCTTTTCAACTATTACCTTCACAACTGCAATCAACCAAATTTGAATTTCTGTTACCTACCAGGAATTTAGCTTGTTAATACAATACAGTTTTATTTATATAACACATTTAAAAACCCAAAGGCACACCAAAGTGCTTCCTGATTATACAGAGAATCAACGTAAATCAATTAACAAAGTACAGATTGGGCACTAGCACAGATAGAAGGCATGCACTAATAGACCAGAAGAGTTAAGTAAAATAGGTATCGAACCTCAAATCGGGAGGAAGGTTAGTTCATGAATACAAAATATCAACTAAGAAGTTAAAAACCAGCAATAAAATTATTTATAAGTTTAATAAGGGTATTAAATGGTCGGGAAAGCCAGGTTAAATAAGTAAGCTTTCAATCTTGATTTGAAGGATTGAATAGAGTCTGTGGCACGAATAGAAGCAGGGAGGCTATTCCAAAGTTTAGGTACAACTGAAGCAAAGGCACGATCACCTCTGGTCTTCAGCCTAAACTTAGGTTGGTCCACGAGTAATTGACCTGATGGTCTTAAAGCTCAGCAAGGAGTGTACAGATTGAGGAGATCATCCACGGATATTGTTATTCTTGTCTCAGAATAATGAAAATCTATCCCCCTCTGCTTATAGATCTCAACAACAACAGATGGCCTGGATGCTGACCTGTGGAAAGACGGACTTTTCAAATCCAAGGTGACCCGATACCTTTGCTTCACCAGAGTTTTCTCTAAAGAAAATGTAAGTTTACTTACCTCCTCAACAGTTAAATAAGTGTCCCACCCCCTCTCCAATAAACATCTCCTTTCTCAATACCATATTCTTGTACTCTATTCTTTCCTCTGCAGAGCCATTTAGGTAATGTTCTTGTGGACATGAAGCTGATTGATATAAAGGACACTTTGCCTGTGGGTTTCATCCCAATCCAGGAAACTGTTGATACTCGTAAGTTATTATCTCAAGTGGAAAGACACTTAGAGCCTCAATGTGTGGTAAGAATATGTGAAAATAATTAATCTTTTTAACCTCTGAAATAAGAATTGTTTGTTATTCATGAACCACCTTGTTGTGGAATGACCGTCAGTTTGTCTTTTCTGCAACAGAGGAGCAGGCCTTCAGGAAGAGGCGACTCTGCATCAAATTTATTCCACGGGACTCCACAGAGGCAGCCATCTGTGATATCCGCATCCTGGGACGCTCCAAGCAGGCACCTCCTCAGTATACCTTTATAGGGTGAGCATTGCAACTTCCAGTCAAATTTAACTTTTTGTTTTCTTTTTTTTTCTTTTTTAAACAGAAGAAAATAGTTTATAAATAAAAAAGTTGTTTGTACTGTAATGGAATCACTCCATTTGGCATAACAGTTTCCACTTACTCCAGAAATCAAGTCACATTAATCTTTTTTACATTTTTAATGTATGATGGAATGTTCAGGGCATTTCTATCAGAAAGTTTTCTACATGAAAAGACACTTCCAGTATGTCAGATGTGTTCCACATGAGAGCTAAAGAATCCAAATCATTTCTGGCAAAGTGTTTATTAAAAAAAAAAAACCTTTGTCCCCAAAACATTTCTAGGATAATTGCTTAGAGAATGTATGAAGGGGAAAGGAGGGTATGGATTTAATACACACACGTTTTGACTAGCAGGTTTACATTAACCTTGGAACTAGTGTCAGCGCTTTCTGCTTAATAATGCTTCTAACATTGTTTGACAGAGAGCTCAACAACATGGGAATCTGGTATCGCATGGGAAATGTGCCTCGGGCCCAGGACTCCACACACACACAAACCATCAACAACACCCAGAATGTGAATTCCTCCAGCTCAGGATCAGCCCCACCAGCTCCCATGCTTAAGTAAATTCACTCTAATGATGTGCTAGTACTTGTATGTAATTGTCTTCACATGTATCTCTTATTAGTTCTTGTAACCTTAAAAGAGAAATACAACACAAAACAAAGCAAGTGCACTGTAACAATACAGGTTGCACAGATTAGCACTTTATCTTGGTATTGCCTAGAGGTTATGGATTGTACATGCAAGTAGTGATTCATTCGCTTGTGAGTGCCCCAACACAGAGAAGATGTATCTTCAGATGTCACAAAAATTGTTATGATGATATGTTTAAATTGACAATGGATATTTATTTTTACACCTTTGAATGAATCAGTGGAGGAACTTCCTTAACTTTCTTGTCATCTTCCTATTTCAATTGTTCCAGATCGTATGCCTCCATGTCCATATTACCAAATCCAGTAAACATCTGTGGTCTTTCTCTTTTTCTCCTCCCTGGCAGCTCCATACTCAGCATCCTTTTTACCACTATACTCATCTGCACATCTCCAAACCAACTTAGCCTTGCCTCTTTTATTTTGTCTCAAACTCCTTCAACCCAAGTTGTCCATTTGGAGCGATTTAATTAAACTTTTATAGAAAATGTGCTTAAGAGTTCAAATAATAAAATAATGAGTAACATAATTTCTTTTAATATTAATGGAACAATTGAGAATTGAGCAGAGCACGTTACAGATTTAAAAAGGATTTTTTTTTTTTTTAAGTTTTCTCTCTCAGATCTTGCACAACATTATATATTAAAAAAATCCCCTCTCGCCCCTGCGGGCGGTCTGTCCTTTAAGCTCAGGTCCTCTACCAGAGGCTTGAGGGTCCTGCGCAATATCTTTGCTGTTCGTAGGACTGCGCTCTTCTGGACAGAGATCTTGTTCCTAGGATCTACTGGAGCCACTCGGCTAGGCTTTGGGTCACTGCACGGAGTGCTTCGATTACCACTGGGACCACTGTTACCTTTCCCCCCCCAAATCTTTTCAAGCGCTTCTCTGAGTCCTTGGTGCTTCTCGTGTTCCTTCTTCCTGATGTAGCTGTCATTCGGTATCGCTGCATCTATCACTACGGCTGTTTCCCTCTGCTGGTCCAACACTACTATGTCTGATTGGTTACCCACCACTATTTTGTTCGCCTGTATCTGGAATTCCAGGATCTTGGCTCTGTCATTCCTGACCATCCTAGGGGGCGTCTCCCATTTATACCTCGAGACTTCCAGGTACTCTGCTCAGATCTTTCTGTATACTAATGCCGGCCACTTGGTTATGGCGTTCCATTAATGCCCTGCCTGCCAGCATCTTGCACCCTGCTGTTATATGCTGGATTTCTCCGAGGCATCTTTACACAGCCTGCTCCTGGGATCTTGCCTGATGTGATAGACCGCAGCCTCCATGGATCTTGTCCTCAGAGCTTGTTCCTGTGTTTCCATGATTACTGCCTCTGTGGCGTGTTTTTGTCCAGCCACTAGTAGGATTTGTGGACATCAGCCACTTCATCTATCGATTGATTGATCACAGCAGAAACCCGTGAAAGAGGAGGAGCCACCATCAAAAATATATATATTTCAGCTACTGTAGCAAAGATAATTTTCAAATTAAGTACATTATAACAATGTATGAATAAGTACTCTAGGATGAAGAGAAATTACCCAACAAGCCATAGTCAAAAATTTGGATACAGCTCTAATGTACAACCCAACTTCCTTTGCTTAGCTGTGCAATTTGACAGTCCAGGATTAGTTCTAGCTGACACAGCAGGAGTGGATAGTGATAGTTTCTTTAAACTCTTAGCTATTTGGCTCACTTTCACATATATATTGAACTACTGAGGTGCTTAATGTTTTTCTTTTTGTTTCAAGGCATATTTCCATGACCCTCCCTGCCAGCTTCAGAGGAAAAAATACTACCAGACCAGACTATGAGCACCAGAACTCCAACCTGTATGCTATTACAGGTCAGGTCTTTACAGTTTCAGTCGCCCTTGTTGATTTAAAGATGAATACACACACATATACACACAACCCCGTTCAACTATCTTAGTGAGGACCTTCATTGACATAATGGTTTCCCTAGCCCTTTACCCTAACCCTAATGACACATCAACAGCTTCACTTTTGTGTGCTTTCAAGCTCTCTCTTCATAATAGACTGCATGTTGAAGGTGACCGTGTCCACATCTCTGTATATGTGGACACTGTCATTTGTTTAACAGTCTCAAGTCGTTGCTGTTATTCAGTTTATGGTTTGTATGGGTTACTACTTGATCTCTTTTACGAGATGAAATTATGTAACGTTTTTTTGACCTTTCTCTTTCAGCAATGGACGGGGTGCCTTTTATGGTCTCTGAGAAGTTTGCCTGTGCCTCATCTGATGTAAGTTTTAAGTTTTAATCCTAGTGACTTTGCCAACATGTCCCCCTGTATCAATTTCCAGTGTTTTGCTTTAACATCTCTGCTCAAAAAGAGTACAACAACCACAGTATTTGCCCAAAAGCTGTAAGTAGCCTTACATTCATACACTAAGCTTCATTACATTGTCTGATGTGTATTTGGTACGTGAATATCAGATTACATATATTTCTTAGTTGAGATTGCTGTACCCTGCAAGAAAGGGATACAGTGCTTAACAAATTTATTACACCCACATGTCATAAAAGCAAGAAAATACCCACAATTTAGAAATCTGTGAAAAGCTTGTTTAAAACTAAAAAGTACAGAATTAACTTAAATGAATTCATATTTTTATTCCCCAAACTTAAGCCAGGACACTGAGAAGTCAGAAATTAATCAAGCATAACAACAAACCAAAAAAACAATTTTTTTCTGTTCAGGAATGTAACTGAGTAACAGTAAAAATAGGCATAAACTTTATTTAATCCCAAACTCTTGGGAAATAACTTGTTACAGCAGCACAAGTAATAAAAAGAAAATTAGATATGAAAAAGTAAGAGTAGTGTACAAAAAAGCAAAAATACTATACTATTTATAGATGGTTACTGTAAACAGTAAAATACATCAAGATTTTCATATGTACTTAAAGTGCAGTGAGAGTGGTAATAATACACATTTGTTTTTAAACAGTATTTATCCTGTGTTGTTAGGATGAAAGACCTACAATAGAGCTCCGCCCTACATTGTGGCTGAAACGGTCTACTGCTGAAAGAGCTGCTCAGGACCTCTATAATCTTATTTAGGGGGTCAGAGATGTTGTTCATAATGCCCATTAGATCCTTTTCTCACCCACCTCTTCTATGCGGTCAAGGGGACTGGCCAGGAAAGAGCTGGCCCACGTTTTCAGACTGTTAACCTGTTTCCCGTCCCACTCCGTGCGGCCACCTCCCCATCAGACAACCGCTTTTAAAAAAAATTGCCCGATAGCCATAAAGTAAGGTTATGGTCGACTCCTGCTCCTTTTCAGCTTTTCAATCTTAGCAGTGCCTGTTGAATTGTATTGAAAGTGCTAGAGAAGTCAAAAAACATGACCCTCACAGTGCTTCCAGTATTCTTAGGCATGACAGTAATCTATTGAGGTAGATGCTTGCATCATCCACCTCAATTCCAGGACGTAGAGCTGGGCGATATAAGATTTTTGCATATCACGATATGTTTTTTTCATTTCAGGCGATAACGATATCTATCACGATATAAGCCAAATAACTATATTTGTAAGATTTAAATGTGCCGTTGCTCACAAGTAAAATGTGAAATAATCAGCAGCTTGTTTTTATTTAAATATTTATTTCTCATAATAAGTTCAACAGGGTAGATGTACTTAAGGAACATGAGACTTTTTCAGATAAATAAAGGCAAATATTGCAAACTACACAAAAGGCAGCCGCTAAAGCGTCTAAGTTTCAAAATAGAACAAACAAAACAGACTAAATTGTCAATTCCACTTAGAAACAAAATATTAATTCTAAAAATAAATCTTAGTTTGTTTTACAGAAGAACAGACAAAACTGACTAACTTTTGTCAGTATCAAATAAACTGAGAACTAAAAGGAAATTCTCAATCTCTCCTTGTTGTATAGCTGAGCTTTTCAAACAGTTTTAACAGTTACTTTAGTCTGACAAAAGCCGAATGACGAATTAGCGCTTCCAGTCAGAGACTGAGGCTACGTACACGGGTATTTTTGAAAACTGAGATTTTCTGTTTTCGTTTTAAAAAATAATCCCGTCCACACATAAAGGCAGAAATGAAGGAAAACGCTGCTATGAACATGCCAAAGCAGCAGGTAGCGCTAGATTCCTAACCGTGCAGAAATGTTGGCCAATCAGAAGTCTAGAAGCCTCGGTGGGAAAAAGTAAACAAAGCTGGGGCATAGAAGCAGAACAGAGTCGTATGTGTGGACGGACAGTAACTGTGTGTATATGTAAGCATTTAAACACTGCAGAGAGTAGAATTAACAGTAACAGTATTGTAGAAATTCATTTCACCGAAACAATAACGTGGCACACAGTGTGACGCATGCACCAGTTTATTGTATTTCCAGACTTGCTTTCGGCACAATTTACAGTGCACACTACTCTGTTTTTTGTCAGACTTGAAATAGCCGAAATACCTTCAAACTACGGAACTTCTATGGCTCTTCCATTCGACAATCTCTCCGGCATTGGAACCATCATCTGTTTTCCCTTCGGTCACGCTCGGTTGATTTTTCTAGTCGGCACACTCATTTCCTACATTACCCGGGCGGTACGGTGGCTGGCTGCTTCCCAAACAAATACACATGTGCGGCTTGGCACTTGTGCTGTACGTAACAAGTCACGTGACGTGACGCTGCGGCTGTGATTGGTTCGGCTCTGCGCTACTTAATTTGGATTGGCTGTTCTTTTTTTTCTTTTTTCTTTTTTTTTAAAGAGGACAAGAGCGGCGAGGTCTATCGCGATAGTTTAATTTTTCTATCGAGAAAAAGTTATATCGCGATACATATCGTTATCGTTCTATCGCCCAGCTCTACCAAAAGTAGAGTAAAGTGAACTACAGGGGTCTGGCAGCAGCATGCTTACTAGAGTTTCGAGGTGGTTGAGGACAATCCTCCCTAATTGTCTTCATCAGGTGGGAAGTTAAGATTACAAGTGTGAAATGGTTAGTACTGGAACAACACAGGATGTCTCCCACGGATAAACATGCGCATGATCACAGAGCTGGTCTGCACAGTCCCTGAGCAGTGGGGAGCTTTTCTGGTCTTGAGCTTTTTTTTTTTTTTTTTTTTTTTTTTTTTTGTAGTTTCTTCCTCATTCAATCAGCACTCAGGAAGTGTTGTCCAGTGTTATTTCACTTCTCATTCACAAACATCGCTATTCCTCCTCCCTTTCTCATTCATCACTCTCTGGTGATATCCTGTGGCCGTTGCAAGCCATCCAGAGTGATGAGTGAGCCTCTTCAAAGTTCACTCAGCCAAATCTCAGTGAAGCACTAAAGGGTACACTGTCAATACCACTATTGCTTAGCTAGCACAAATTAACTCTTGCATCTTGTTGGGAAGAGATTAGTATTAAGTAACATTTTCCATAATGACAGATGGTATTCAAATTAAAAGTAATTAAATTTTTCTTAGTATGTAACATGCTTTAATATATTTAATGCTTATTTATGAAATGGTAAATTTGAAAATGACTGGATAGTAGCAATAAATATATATTTTAGCATTCAAAATATTTTAAAGGCCTTCGGCATACTGGTAGATCAATTATTACAGAAACATAAAAACGGATTTTGCTAATAGCAGTGTTACCAGTATTGCTCTAAATTACCAATTCTGTTCATTGAAGGCGGCTGTGGCATAAACCTTTTATTGGGTGATGAGCTGATAAATTTGTTGAGCCTCTATCACAATGTTCAGACTGCACCTAGAAAAATGGCAAACTTTTATTCGACTTAACCCTTCAAATAAGTCACGTTGTAGTAATACAAGTCTCCCAACACTACTCTCACACAATTGCAACATGCTTGAAGTTGAGCTTGTTCACACATCTCAGCATTCCTGTTCTCCATGTACAGCTGCAGCAGGTGGATCTGATGGGTATTACAATTAAATCACTGGCTGAGATTGAAAAGGAGGTGAGTAGACATAAGACTTTGTTACATTTCTCATAGTATAATTTATGGTCTCCAGAGATGAATAATGAAGTAGTATTTGCTTAAGTACAGATTGTCCACTAGAGGATTAATAAATTACTGTATATGATTGTTAATCAACACTGTATTTTGCAGATAGGTAAATGAAATTATGATTTTAGTGAACAATAAGAAAATTTGTTAGACCATACTAATTAGTAATAATATGCAACTCTCCCTATGTAAGTATGATTACAGTTTCCGCACAGAGCATAGTGCAGCGGCTCGCCTCCCTCCAAGTCCAACACGGACCTCTCTGAGTTCTGAGGCCTAAGCATCTCTTATATGAACAACAGTCATCGCCACACTATAGACAGCAGCCGGAGAGAAGTGCACACAACTACTGAGAACATACCTACAACGGGGATATTCAATCTGTAAATGAAAAGAAAGATTCCCAACGAAAATTGTGGATTTTCTAACTTCTGGGACATGTTGTAGGCCCTCTGTGTGCTGTTGAAATGGAAAACAATGGAATTCAGTCAGACTCGAACTACTACACTGCAGAGCTGGGACAAGAAAACACGTTTTATGCTCATCGAGATACTTCAGTATCTCACTCGAATGACTTCAAAAATACATTTTGTTAAGTGAAAAATGGTCAAGTGTCGTATTGTGGTGGAAAAAAATAACCTTGTCCCATCAAAAGATCTTGTTAGAAATAAGATAAAAGGATCACACGGTACTTTTTTCATGGAGGACTTCTGTTGGATCTCACACCAGTCATGTTGCCTTTTTCGTTTATGACATGGACTGTTCTGAATCAAAGCGCACCATAAAGGCACCTTAGGGTGTCAGAAATTTAAAAGAAAACTGTGACTTTAAGTTTTGTTGTTGAGCTTGTCTTCTTGATGGGGAAATGCTTTTCATTGTTTTCTAGATGTATTGCCATTTACTGGTGTGACTGTGAGTGCACTTTTGTGTTTTGAGGTTGTTATTGTGCTTCCTAATTGCTTTAGATATTCTGTAAACCACTTCTTCTCTTTCTGTGAGGTAGCAGCTTGCCCGACAGAACCATGACTACAGCTAATATTCACTGTGTGGAGTATTCACATCAAGATTTTCTATTTATACCATACTCTAATACCTTACTTTGCATGCATATAGATGTTTTATTGATACATCTTTTCACTGAATGAGTAACATTGAGCAAACCTCACACATTTTAGCTAAAAAGCACTGATAGTTAGTCCTTATATCTCAACAATATCATAGCTATATTCATCGTTTCCTTCATCTTCATTGGTGTTATATCAGAAATGGATGCTCCAGTAAAAGTATAATATTGCAAAGAGTTTTATTTTAGTACATTGGTTATGGAACGTGTGTACAGAATTTTACTCTCCTGGTCAAAAGTTTTAGAATACCCCAATTTTTCCAGTTTTTGTTGAAAATGATTCAGTTTAATGTCTCATTGCACTCTGAAATGAAAGCCTTGTACAAATAAGGACTTATTCTAAATTTTTCACTCATCAAAGTAGAAACCTTTGGCAGATATAACAGCTGAACATACCCATGGCTTTCTTTCTACATTAGAAATCAAATATTCTTCATAAAGTTCTTCCCATATGTGTTAAATAAGTTCCCATAAATGTGTGGTACCCAAACCAGCTCGATGGGGTTTAAGTCTGGAGATTGTGCTAACCCTGACCAACTAGGCACATACCAGAGGCTATTGCATGGCGCTACAGAATGTTGTGGTAGCCGCGGCCCAGGCAAGCCTCTTATTCTGACGTCTTAGCAGTGTCTTTCTTGCTGCAACTCGTCCTGTCAAACCTGCAGCCTGAAGTCTTCAATTGAAACTGAGACTTGCCTGCTACGATCACTATTAAGCTGTGCTCAAAAGGGTTGGGTTGTCCTGTGAGCCGTCTATCATGCAAGCTTGTTAACTCTCAGAAACTTGTCCTCTGATTCATTTGTGGCTTTGGGTCTGCCAGACCTCTTCATGTCAGAGTTTACCCCAGTTTCTGAGTGACTTTTGATGGTGGAGAAAACTGTACTCATTGACGCCTTTCTTTGCAGTTTCTCTGTAGGAAGACATACATTTTGATGGTCCGTCTCTCTTCCATTGCGATGCCTTTTTCAACTGATGCTCACGAGAATATGGTAACACAATGTGTTCCAACACTGCTTTTATGCAGACAGAGGGGTTGGAAGTAATCCAGAAAAGTTGGAACACCTGTAGGAATTAGTAGCACCAGCTTTCAAGGCTCCATAAACCACCATTGCTGTAGAACAGCTTTAAATTGTTAACACATTTTTGTTTTCCTGAAAAAAGGCCTCTTGTATAACTCTGAAATGTACCTTATTTTTCAGTTTGGAGTAGGGGTGGTGTTGGTGTTGTTTTTGTAAACCTCTGGCGGTTCACCATTTACCTTTGTTCCATTTCAAGTTATTCATTGGACTTAAGCAACTTGAATTCCAATAAATAACTGAAATAATTGGGGTGTTCCAAAACTTTTGACCATTAATATTAAAATCACCTATTTCACATGTGATGACAATAAAGACCAACTCAGAACCATGTGACTTTATGGAATTTTGACCCTGATTAGAGTCACCACTGGTTATATGCAAATAACTATTTTTATTTTTTAATTGTCTATAGCACTAACCACTATTATTAAAACCACCAGATAAAATAAGTATCAGTTAGTTACTTTGTTTGTTTTTCTTTACTACCTACATTATACATTGAGCCTTTGAGATGTTTAGAGAAAAGCAGGAGAATAAGTAGGATATGTGTCATGTAGATGAGGAGGTATTCTCTGGCGTATTGTATTCTTATGAACTGCTACAAAAAGGTCATATTGGAAACTTTTATTTGTAGACTATTGCTGTTTGATACTTTGAATCTGTAATACACTAAAAAGGCCTATTATAATTTTTTTTTTTAAAGGGAAAATAAGTGGTTCACTTAATTCTCAACTTTGATGTGAACAAAATGGATTTGAAACTAATTGTGTGATAATTTATCTCATGTTAATTAAGCTTAATTATCTCCATGTCTGTCCTGTAATAGGAAAAAGTTTCATGTTTCCTCATATCGAACAAAATGTACACTAATAGAAACATGTGATAGGCCAGTATAAGTTGGGCTCTTATTATTGACCTTATGTTCAGCCTGAACAGGTGTCTGTGAAGGTCAGTCTGTCCACCATCTTCTTAAAACACATGATGTAGCATCACCGATTATGTAAAGAAAATTAAATCAGTTTTAATTTTGCTGATTTTTATTTTTTCCACAGGTCATATGTGACAAGAAAAAATGTTTGCAATATATCAAGTCATTAAATAGAGTAACTCCTTTGCTGTTTGTTTACTTGTCAGTATTTCAGTATAGCACCTACTTGGTCTTAAATTCTTTTTTCCAGTGTGTCCTATGAAACTTAATTATACTGCTGAAATTAATAGGGTTAGACAAATGGCTATGTGAAGCTCTGTGTATTTCAGCTGTGCGTAACTGCCTGCTGTGTGATAAGCTACACGTGTATATTTCTCAACTTGTTTACTTCCAGCCTGGTGGGCTGCAGTATTCATTTGCTAAGTAATGTAACTATTAACTACAAATAATCTCTTTAATGTATTAATAGTATGCATGGTGACATGTTGGGTTCAGTGGTTTCAGTATTGCAGTTAATGTTAATATTTTAGTGATCAATTTGTCTCAAATCGTTTCATTTAGTAAGCTTTGAACAAAACAACATTAGCTTAATTTGTGTTTGATTAACTTTTAATAAAGTGTGATGAACTAAAGTCCTTATAAAAATTCCCCTCACCCCTCAGAGTGATCGGTCCTTCAAGGTCAGGTCCTCTACCAGTATCCTCTACAGCCGCGGTCCCCAACCCCCGGGTTTGGTTCTGGGCCGCAAGACTTGAGGCTCGGGCGTGATATTTATGGTTTTCAGGGTGCTTGCTTTTATCGTTTTTTTGGTTTTTTTAAATCGTTAACTCGTTTTCCCTGGGTTTTATTCCCGTGTGTTGTGAATAAATTTTGGGTTTTCTGGTACTGGTTTTATTTTGTTGTATTTATCCACGACACCTTAAAGGTCAGTCCGTGAAAATATTGTCAGACATAAACCGGTCCGTGGTGCAAAAAAGGGACCACTGCTCTACATCTTTGCTGTTCCTAGGACTGCGCTCTTCTGGATAGAAATCTTGGATGTTGTTTCTGCAATCTACTGGAGCCACTCGCCTAGCTTGGGGGTCACTACAAAGAGTTCTGTGATTACCACTGGCACCACTGTTAACTTCACCCTCCACATCTTCTCAAGTTCTGCTCTCAGGCCTTGGTACTTCATCAGCTTTCAAATTCAAATTCAAATTTTTATTTGTCACGTACACAGTCATACACAGTACGATATGTAGTGAAATGCTTGGACAACTGCTCGTGACCTAAAGAAAACAAAAAAGGAAAGGCTATGAATAAGAAAGGAAATAAATATGAAAAATTAAAAAGGGTAAATTTAACTAGGAAGGAATAAAATATAAATTAAGGTTAAAAATGAAATAATTGTACAACACAAATTAGAATGAAGGGTAAATTTAACTGGGAAGAATAAGATAAAGATAAATATATAAATTAAAGTTGAAAATAAAATAACTGTACAACAAAATACACAATATAGAACTATATAAGAATGTATGAAGAAATCTAAATATAAATAAATATATACACAATAACAGCAGCTGTACAAGTATTAACCGGAAATGAAGAATATAGTGACCAGTGTTGTGCAAAACCAAAGTCCAGAAAGTCCAGTGTGTGTGTAAGAACCATATGTGTGGGTCAGTACTGTGTGGTGGTGTGATTGAGAGACCGTATCGCCTGCGGGAAGAAGCTCCTCCTCAGTCTCTCTGTGTTGGTCTTCTTGTGTTCCTTATTCCTGATTATCATCGTCATTCGGTATAGCTACATCTTTCACTGTGGCCGTCTTCCTCTACCTGTCTGCCATTACTATGTCCGGTTGATTAGCCGTCACCAGTTTGTATGTCTGTATCTGGAAGTCCCACAGAATCCTAGCTGTCATTCTCGACCACCCATGTTGAAGTTTTGATTTCCAGGCACAGATGGTTCTGTATACTACGTCAGTCACTTGGATATGGCGTGCCATGTATGCCCTTCCTGCTACCATCTTTCACCCTGCTGCTAGAGCAGCCTGCACCTGGGGTCTTAACTGCTGTGGTACACCCCTACCTCTAAACATAAAAGCTTCTTCCTATGCTGCCATGATTAGTGAATGTGAGCCACTTCCTCTGTCTGCTGGTGTTACACACTGTGCAGGGGGCCTGTCCTTCCATAAGAACGTGGTAAGTTGTGTCCATCTTCCTGATGTATTTGTGGATGTTCGTTGCCTCATCCTGGACAGTGATTCTGACGTGTGTGTGTGTGTGTGTGTGTGTGTGTGTGTGTACACACACACACACACATTCATGCATATGTAAGTATAATTCTAAAGGTGCTATTGACATAAAATTCTCTCGTCCTACCTGACTGGATTCACACGTCTTGACTGTCCTACGAGATCAAATGAAGCCCTTGATCTTCATCTTCATTGTCAAAGAAGCTTATAGAGCT